TGTATTTTGAGGTTTGATGGCTAATACCAACTTTTTTTGGAGTAGTACCATAAAATTATATATCAATGGAAAAATAATGTAATCAAGAATGTAATGCAACAAAGTTTGTTCAATTATCTGTATTCTATGATACATTATATAGCCAGCAATAAAACCCAGTTAATGGAAGCAATCATTTAATCTTGGTTTCACATTATAACAGCTACAGAACAAAAAGACTTGGCTGGGAAGACGTTATAAGGCTGTAATTCATGCTAAAGGTTACCCAACTAAGTATTAACTGACCTGGTAATAATTTTTGTATATCTCATTTTTTTGTATTTTACTTTTCTTCTTTATATCTGCTATTCTAATAACAAATCCTTCATAAAAGTTATTGCATTACATTCTTGATTAAATTATCTTTCCATTGATATATAATTTTATGGCACTACTTTTTAAAAAGTGGTATTATTAGCCATCAAACCTCAAAAATACTATGCACTTTTCCCAAAAGGTTTCCACAATTTTGGCCACTGCTGCATATTACTATAGCAATCCTAGGTATACACCATGGCCATAGGTAAATAAAAATCATCAGGTAGCTCTGGGGTCTTCTTTTTGAGACATATAACTTCTATAGACTCAACCGAGGTGGCACCAGTCATTAGAATGCATCATTACAGTCTAATTTAGCTCACTACCAGGAGTTCTTTCCTCAATAGCTCAGGGTTGTCTCAGTCTTCCATCTTCCCGAAAATGAGGAGCCACATTGTTTGGAGAAATATGCTGACTCTATAAACAGCTTAGAAAGCACTGTGAAGTGGTATATAAGTATTATTGCTATAGAAAATAAAAAAAATACCTGTGATGAATCCAGCACAAAGGTATAGTTGAAAAATGCTGGTGCAGAATGCTGCTGAAACCATTCCTATGCCACATAGTAGCCCTCCAAATATGACCACCGGCCGGCTACCAAAACGATTCACCAAAATACTGCTAAGGGGACCTAAAAATATTAAAGGAGAGGAGGAGGGAATGAATAATTTTTATAAATATGTCTAATGGGACATACTTTAAACATTGATAGGCTACACTGATAAGTTCCTAAATTCATGAATCAGAGTAAGGATTAATTAAGGTGTAGGAATGTCTCCCAGCTGCACAGGAGAAGAAAGATACTTGTACAAAGTCTGCCAAAAATGTCATTCTTGGAAACATTTGTTTATGTAGCTCAGTGGTAGTCAACCTGATCCCTACCGCCCACTAGTGGGCATTCCAGCTTTCATGGTGGGCAGTAAGGGTTTGCTGTAACTCTGCTTTATAAAGTAAAGTTACTTCCCTACTTTATAAATCACTATTACTGTGGAACCGGTGAGCGGTTAGAAAATTTTACAGAAAATATTTACTATCAGAGATACAAAAGTGGGCGATAGGTATAAAAAGGTTGACTACCCCTGATGTAGCTGGCTAATCGAACCAGTAGCCATAGCATTTGAAAAGAGAAAATAACATTTGACATACGGGAATCTAGAAAGAAATTGGGAGGGAAGGGAGAGCAGAGGAAAACAGGAAAACAAAGCCTGCTTAGCAGTAAGTATCATTATCGTATGATGCATAGCTACATGCCACGATACAGTAAGATCAGAGAAGATTGTAGCATCTGATGGTGGCTAATATCAAGAGAGAGGATGAAAGAGGGCGGGAGGGAGGGAGGGAGGATGAGAGAGAGAGCTTGAGAAAGAGTGTGTCAAACTTAATTTGAGAAAAACTTGTTTTCCTTAAATGCAGAAAGAGCACAACCACACAGTATTTTTCATAGGTTCATGACACTCAATCTTTCTATTTCAAATGCAGTCAGAGCCCGTCTTTCCATTTGTAGGCCAGAACAAGATATATTGGTAAAGACATGAATGCAGTGTTGATTTTTTTCATTAGAGCTCAGTACCTGAACTGCAGAACTCTAGATGATTATAAATGGTAATAGACCATTTCTTTGCTGACAGCTAGTCATTGTCTGGTTTTTAAAGGTCAGATCTGATAGCCATAACAGAGTATTGCCCCAGAAGTTAGCACAAAACATAAGATAACATGGGAACTATCATAATTCACTATAGAAACACACATGTTTTATCACGAAGATAATACAATGTTTGCTACTAGATTGCTAGATGCATTAGTCTACCAAAATGAAAACAATAGACATTACACTCCAACCAATCTTTTATAATATACATTTATATGTAATAGAGATGCCATAATAGATGGGTAGAGATTATATTCATAAATGTTACAGGAAAAAATGTTAAAAGTGGAGAAAAAGCACATGAAATGCAAGTCACCCTGTTTGAATTTCTTTCAAAGCTCAAATGTGATTTGGAAATATGCAGTGATAATCTATAGCAGCAAAACCTAACAAATGCTAGGAAGGTGATATTATGAGCATTTAATATTCACTTACCTTCAGTGCACGTATTTTTATATAGAAATAGCATAGGCAAAATCTGACTGTTCTGGCTTTGTGATTTCTCTTCTAACCCCCAAAACAATGACCCGCTAATTGTTTATGAGGATATAGCCTCAAAATGCAGATTTTGTTTTCTCAGCCCACCCTAGAGTTAGATTAAGGTTTTCTGTAGCTGTTCCTGTAGCTGTTTTTTTCCCCCACTAATGCTTTTCTGTTTTCCCAACACAAGTTTTGCCATATGAATGACTTCAGTCGGGATTCGGTCCTGGGCTTCTTAGTTAGACACAAGTCTAACATATTTCTGGAAGAGCATTAGATTATCTGGTTTCTTTTCAATCAGGATTCAGACATGGGTATGTAATGAAAATAGTGTTGGTCATACTTCTGGGTGACCTCTAGCATGGGTAGAATGGGGGTAGATAACCATGGGTGGGCTTCAAAAATTTCAGCAACAGGTTCTCTGCCCATTTGGAGTGGGTGTGGCCATGGTGGGTGGCCTAGTGGGCCTCCCCGTACCATGATGTGGGGGGGCATTTTCGCTTTCCCCAGGCTCCAGAGGCTTTTCTCGAGCCTCTGGGAGGGCGGAAACTGCCTCTCCCGGGCTCTGGAGGCCAGAAATGGGCCCAATTCCGGCCTTCCAGAACTTGCAGGAGGCCCATTTTCCATCTTCTCAAGCCTCTGCATAGACCCTGCACTTATCTCACATCCAAAGCAGCCAGCGTGGAGACTCCTGGGAGGGGCAGGGAAGGATGGGTGGGTCCATCCAAGGGTGGGATTTGGAGGTTCTCCAGCCATAACATTAGCTATGGGTTCTCCCAAACCCGGGCGAACCGGTAGCAGCCTACCCTGTAGATGACCTTAATTCATGTCTTAGTAGCTTTTGATACTATTGACCATATCATCTATCCTTCTGGATCAGGTCAGAAGGTTGGGAGTGGAAGGCAAGGTTCACTTCCTTCCTTTAGGGTCATTTTCTGACAATAATGATTGGGGAGGAGAGGACCCATCCTCACCTCTACAGGATTTGGTTCTTTCTCATTAAATTATGGTTTATGGCTATGTTTATTAGAAAGAAAATAGATAATAGAAAAAAATAAATAATTTTGTAGTAATAGTACATTTACTGCAAAACTAAGATAATGTTGTAACTATATTGGAAGCTATTTTCTATTTTTCTTTATTCTTTCTTTTTGCTCTTGTCTTATTTTCTCTTTTCCTTTTTTTCTTTATTTTAGTTCTGCTAAGTTTTCTTTTTCCAAAACCCTTAAGAAAAATATTAAATTTTATATTTAAAAAAATAAAAGAAAGATTTGAAGGACCAGGTTATGGATAAATTTTCTCATCAGGGAGAGAATTTATCTATGTGGTTGCTAATTGCTTAACACCGAATTGATGGCAGATAATAATAATCAGACCAACAAAAATCAGAACAGCCTATTTTTCATCCAACCCAAGAACTGGAGGAGTGAACATTCCTGAAGCCATGAGAAAATCCCTTTATGCAGACTTTTTGTTTCTAATACATAATTCAACTGAAAGGATATATTTAAAATACCTGATGATGATTTCAGGCTAAACTGGATGGAAGGCACCATATAATCCTTTAATTTTAATTGCTATTTTAAGATTTTTTGGGAAAAGAGAAATAGCGTCCTTACTCCTATAGTTCTATGTAAGAGAACCGATACCCTCAGACTATATTTTGGATTGTCCTTCATTGTATAATCTCTGTTAACTGTCCTCTTACTTTTTATGGAAGGCTTTAAAAGGTGTTTAAATGTCTACTTCTTAATTAAGGAAGGAAGGTGAGAATGAACGCAGAAGAAACAGCTGGCAAGGATCTTCTGGTCTACTCATAAAGCTGCTCTTTATTTGTCTTGACCTTGCTGAGGAAGTGATGGTTGTGTTGATAGGTTCCCATGAAACATTTGAGAGCTGAGGAAGTGGCCTCAGAGGTCTAGTCAACAGCTGCTGAAAGTTCTATCAATACGGCCTGCAGCTTTTTTAAAAAGGGGAGGAAGGGAAACCACCGGAGAACAATCATTACTAGTTACTATCTGGAGTCAAACAAACAAATGCTTGGCTCCTTGTAATAGGGAGCTTGGAACATTCTATATTGACCCTTCCACCTATTAAGGACAGCTAAATGTCTGACGTGATTAACCAAATGCAGGATTTTAAGAACGACTATCTTAGTGATCAAATTAGACTAATTATTTTCTTTCAGTCTCCAATCCAAGTGGGGAAAAACAAGTATGTATGCAACTTTGGCAATCTTTCAAATGCTGTCCATTATTTTCTACATATTTTATGCATCATCTCTTTTCAGACAAAAGAGTTGGGGGGGGGGGGAAACCACAGAAAATAAAAAAGAACAGGCTTCTGATTTTTATGCTGCAATTAAATTATGAACCAGAAACTACTGGTGTATATGTGTTTGTATATGTGCAGTTTGTATATGTGCAGTTCAGCGGTTCAAATCTCACCGGCTCAAGGTTGACTCAGCCTTCCATCCTTCCGAGGTGGGTGAAATGAGGACCCAGACTGTGGGGGCAATTTGCTGACTCAATTTGCTAAAAATCTGTAAACTGCTTAGAGAGGGCTGAAAGCCCTATGAAGCGGTATATGTCTAATAAATAAATACTAAGATGAGACACAGTCCAGGGATAGACTTCACAATTTTCATATGAAGTCTGTGCATACAAACACATATACACCAAACATATTTTAGACTAATACCTTACACCAGGGGTGTCAAACTCGCGATGACACACATTGTTGTCACGTGACATATCACAACTTTTCCCCCTTCACTAAAATGGAGGTGGGCATGGCCAGTTTGTGATGCATCTGGGCCGTGAGCTTGACACTCCTGCTTTACATGAACCCAGCCCATGAGATTTGGGCTTGAATAAACCAAAGTTAATAATGGTGTTACAAAAACTAAACTGTTGGGACAAGCATATGAGTAAACCAACCAAAGTCCGGGCATGGAGAATAATGAGTATGTGTAAGAAGATGAAGAAATAAGGATGTCAATTTTGACATTAGACAAGAACCAGTGATAAGAATGTTACCTGCCATGTAGCTTGCAAGGCACATTTGACCTAGTAACCTAATGTTCAACAAAAAGAGTCTTTGTGATGAAGAACCACAGTTGTCAACAAATGTAAAGGAAAATGGAACAGGTCAAAAACTCCTAATACATGCACACTACTATGTATACAGAGCACTTTTGTTTTTCCCAGGCCCTGTACATCACTTAATCAAAGTATAATAAGCAAGTGAAAACAAATATGTGAGTAATGCTTATGCAATTGTAAGCTTTTGTAGTTTTATAAAAACCGAAATGGGGGATGCAATGGCTTCAATATATATATCCCTGGACTCTAGAAGACCGTTTCAATTTATTGGAGAACAACTAGAGTTATGGGAGGTAGTCCATATCTCCATTTCCATTGTTCCTACACAAGAACATAAGCAGCCCCTTGCTGGATAGCCCAACATTCTGTTCTCATAGTGGCCAACCAACTGCACGGGAA